TTTGCAAGTTATGTTTTTTTTTTCAAATTCAAATTCAAATTCAAAATAATCTTTATTTCATAGGTAAGCATTATTACACTTGAAATCGTCACAATGGTTAAACTCTACCGCTCATTCGTAAGGCAGATTCCCCTGAGAAGAATGAGCAAGAAACTCTAGGGGTTGCTCTTTGTAAATAACATTGACAATATTTTTTTTTTATTTGAAACATCAGAGATCGAGACTACCTCCATGAGCTAAACGGGTACTACCACGGATTTTTGTCATCCAAGTACTTAGAAGTTGTATAATAACCTTTAGTATAAAGTTTTTGTTTCACTATAGTTTTAAACCTCGTGGAAGGCAAATTTTGTATATCAACCGAAATCTTGTTATAGAAGCGTATACATTGCCCCTTAAATGATTTTTTGACTTTGTGAAGACGACTATCAAGACAAGCTAGTTTATTTTTATTCCTCGTATTAATGTTATTTTTGTACAAAGTGTCACTTTTTGAACATTATGGATATTATGAAGGTTACAGTTTATATCAAAGAATAATGTTGCTCGCATTTTGCGGCATGCAACCGCCAACGACATAATTCGTTGGGTCATATGATCAGTAAACGTACCCACTGTATTAGAACCCAGTGGCATATCGCAGCTGATGTCAATCGCCCAGATGCATGAACCTTATTCCATGGAGGATGGGTATTATTATGCAATGCCACATTCGGTGATACATTGATCTCGTTCCACTTCGAAAACACCGGCACAACACAATATTCTAAAGTATCAGGACCACCTTTCTGTCCCAAGTTACATAATTACCATCTTGACGTGAGTATTGTGGTAGTTACACTTTCTAGAGCGTGGTTTCACAGCACCGGTCTGCGGTAGCGTAATTACAATAATTCTTTGTTAAATTGGTGGATTCCCCAGACCATCTTTAGATCTACTTTAGATTCTTGTTCGCACGATTTTGTGGCTTTAGGAAATTAGAAACTAGTCTGTTATAATACCTGAATGTTTATTTTGTTATTAAAAATAATACAGCCAACTGAACATCTGAAGCCGTGGTAGCCTAATGGTTTGACCTACCGCCTCTCAAGCAGAGGCCGTGGATTCGAATCCGGGCTCGCACCTCTGATCTGAGTTTCCCGAGATAGAAGGCTCTTCTGGTGTCCCTTCTCAGGGAGGGGCTACGCTGGGCGCAGCCAGCCGTTGGTGGAGGTGCGGACGAGCGATAGCGTACCCGTACCTCCACCAGCAGCGGAGAGAAGAAACAGCCGAGAGTTCAGTCCAGTTCCACATAACCCCGGCTCTGCCCCCGCAGGGCCAGGGTATTTGTCAGCAGATTTCCTCGGGTCATAAAAGATTACTTAAATTTTGACAAGGTTACATAAATGACGTATACTTTATGTCACTAACATAACAAATTGCAAACAATGTTCACATCCCCATCGGAATCAATACATCTTTTTATAATGCCAACGCATCTGCACAGAAAGCATTGTTGGTAGACAATGTGATGGGCAGAAAAACAATGCTTACAAGTCTTACAAGTTGTGTATATACCTTTACAAACTCGAATTACATTAAGCCAATTGAACACAATTTTTCCTTGGAGGTTTAAAAGAACAGGTAGTATTACTAATAATGTAAATGCCTTGAAGCTGTCGGTCACGCACACATACATTAATTCAGGTGCTGCTAAATAGACGATACAGGTGAACTGAGTAGCTCTATACCAAGATGACGTTTTGTATTTTAGTCAGAGTTTGTATTAAAATTTAGTAAAAGTTGTCGCTTATTTTTAGTTTGTAAGTAATCATTCGAGATTTTATGTCGGCTTAGTTTCGTATTGGTTGAATGGATGGCAATCGCAGAGATGTAATGAGACGACCCCGGTTGCGTCACGCGTGCGGTGTTCGGCGTGCCATACCATAAGTCGGGTGAACGTGCTTCGACAACCTGCGCTGAGCTATGTAGGCGAGGAGTCCAATGGTTGATTATGTTATGAGCGTTCGTGAGTTTGCAATCGAGGATGTTCGTTGCAATACAGCTTCTTTTTAGCACTATAAGTGTGTCACGAAGAGGCAATTATTTTTCTCAAAATATAGTGGTTGCTAGAGATATAACAGTGGCGAAGGCTGTGTGACAAGAGTAACAATAATTATTACTCTTTAGAGACGTTTTGTTTCATAAAAATCGTTGCATATAGGCTATTTCTTGTTGCACGTTCATGCACATTCAGAATATAATTTTTTCATTACATCTCAGTTGTCTGTACTGTAGTTATCTAACGTTTGGAGGTTAAGTGGGTGACGAGGTTCCCATGCGTATTCAGTGGGGGGAGGGGTGCGATAGCATCGCTTGCGCAATCGCGTCGCCGTCGACTACCGACCCGCAAGGTGCCTGCGCTGGGGCATCCTCGCCGAAAGGTCACCGCTATGCGAACGAGTCCGTCTCTACGCTCGTGATACTCTCGTTTGCTTAGCCGTTGTTTTGTTGTTGCGTGAAATATGCCATTTATACATTGTTACGCTTTTGTTTCGGGTACTATAACAATGTTCAATAACGTTTGTTTGTTTTTATTGAACAAGCGCTGTTTATTAGAATGAAAGACAACGACTTTTTTATTTTACATTTACCGTTATTATATTATTTTTCAGTGCATTCATAAGCAAAAGTCAGGTCAATCAGATCAAGAATGTTTTCATATTCGATTAATTTTTTCGTTTTGTTGATTCATAATTTTCCTTTCATTATGCATCCTCCCCATCTAAGGTACATCGTAGATATAACAAATACGTAAAAATTAATTATTTTACTACGGTATTTTCAAATCATCATCACATATCCTCAATAAATGCTCAGTAGTTTGCCATTAATAATCATCTATAGACGGACAATTGTATTATTGTAAATGTATGCGTACAGAAGCTCACACTGATGACTTTCATGCCATCATAGGGAAAAAAGCCGCCTCGAATCGTGTACGCGTTATAGCCGACCAATTTGACTGTCCCTTAGTGTGGCATTGGATTCGACTGCATATGTAGGAAAATAATTAATGTGATAACTTATTTATTTTATTTGAGTGTGTGCGTTATTATTTTCATTTCTTAATTTTTATTTAGATTTTTGCTTAAGTTTTTGATATAAATTTTATTTTTAGTTTTTTTAATTTTCTAAAGTGATTAACTAATTTATAATTTGAGAATATGGACCATAGACATTGGATATAAATGATTTTTGTTTTTATTTTTTATTAACGCTCTGTATAGTACGGTATGGTGTGACGGGCTGGTGACCGCAACTCGACGTCCAAGCGCCTATAATGCTCAGTAATTTGCCATTACTCTTATTTTTGATGTACCATGAAACTCGTGGCGTAAGTATGTCGAATATTCTGACCGCGTAATATAGACTTGTGCCTAATTCGTCACGCCAATGACGTAAAAAATTTCATCTTTTGCGACACCGGAAACAAATTAGTTTATTTGTTCAATGTAACATTGGTACTGGCTATCGATACCTGCGAATTAAGCTGGAGCATCTGTGATGTAATTTTGTTTTGCTGAGGCAGGCAAACTTTATACAAACGTACTGTCTCGTCAATGATACAGAAGTAAAATAATAATTAGAATTTGAAAGTAAGTTTGTTTCTCGCTTTATTGTTCATAGTTTTTAGCACCGATATTTTACAATTATTTTACGTGTTTGGATTATATGTGGTAGAACCTTGAGATGCATCGGGGTATCCGTTCTCCGACCGTCACGCCGGCCCAGTTCTTCGGGAGAACGGAGCGTGAGAAAATCGCTTATGCAAATCCGGGGAATCGATTATCGTGGCGATGCAGTGCAGTCGATCGACTGCGTGTTGCAGGCGCAGGCACTGCGCGCTGCAAGCGAATGGAAAGTGTGTAGTTGCGCAACATAGTGCAATATTGCACCGCTCACGGCGCATCTACGCGAAGATGTACACGCGCATCTTAAATTAACATCATGTGGTTGTGTCAATTTGTTTTGGGTTTTATTCAATACCTACCTGCTGGCAATTTTACGAATTTACTACGACCTAATAATTGTTATTACCGACACTTAAGGGTTTTTATCCAACAGATGTTAAATGCAGCAAAAGTTTAAAAACGTATTCTGAATGCCAACGAGTTCACAGTGTGTAATCGAGATTAAAATACAAAGTAGCGTTTCACAGTAAAGCCATGACCCGAGTTAGGTTTAACCAAATACGGATAATGAGCAATCGTATGGAAGATTGAGTTGTTAGCACGTGCGGCTTGCGCACTGAAGGCGGTAATTACTTGATGATAACTGCGGTTTAGGCCCTTATTTGTCTGTACTAATTTACCCAATATGGCCAATCTAGAACATTTTTATTAGGTAAGGTATATTCCGGCAAATTAGTCATCAAACTACTGTAGGATTAATCCAGTTGTAGAAAATTTGAAAGGGCAATAAGGTAAAAGTAAAACATGTAATAAATACAATTGATTATTGTTTAAAGCATTCAAATTAATGTTCGTATGAAGTCGTAATATGGATTAAAATACCTATCACGCATTAGTAATTTAATATCTCTTAGTATTATACATTTCCTAGTAAACAGTGAACTTCCCACATTCCCGGACGTCCTGTACATACGTTGTATGCTTTGCAGTTGCGCATGCGTCGGCGATGTCGACGCGATACACGCGATGCCATTCTACACTACTGGCACATTTATACTGATAATGTAACTTAATTATTGTACATTATACTTTCAAACATTCATTAATTCGGAAAGAGTAATTAATTTTATATTTGAAGTAATACTGTATACAATCAAATCTTAGGTTTAAACATGTTTTAGTAGACAACTTGCAGGGCATCTGCTTTAATTCTGGTCAGTTTAAAATGAAAAGACACCTTACCAGACATATTCCGACTTCCGCGCAACAAAAAGTATGAGCACTTCCGATTGTGTTTTGTTTCACTAGACACGTCACGTGACTTACCGAGTATGGGGAGCGCTAAAAGCACGAACCACAGGACAGGCATGTTATCGCGAGAGACGCCGCGGAGGGACTGAGAGAGCGCGCGCGCCGCCCGCCCGGCCGTTGCCGCCAACAATGAAGTGGGAGAGCCGAAAGCTCACCGCCCGCCTCTGCCGCGTAGCACACTAGAGACAATAGCTAAAAGGAAATACGTGAGATACGTTTGAACAATTTTGTACGCAATTATGATTTATCATGATTATTCTTATTATGTCTCATGTAAGCAAATTTATTTTCTGTTTACCTTCTAAAATACACCAATCAATATGCACTTGGATACCGTGGATCGGTTACCTATCAATAGTCCGAAATTACATTTTCCAGTTTGCTCGAATTTTCATAACTTCGAAAGTAATTTTGAGAGGTAAATGTTTTTTTCTTTTAAGCCTAACTTAACTCAATCCAACCGAACCAAATCGTGTCATTGCGATAAACATCCAACATATCCTGAAAGAACAACGGTTTCGTTATAATTCGGTTTTCGGTGTAGTGAAAATTCGAACAAACGTTATTTCGGAAAAAAAATTCTAGTTTGTGATAGGTTACCCCATGCATCCTTATTCCAAAGAGTTATACATTTTAAGTATTGGAATAGGTACACATTATTTATAATAGGTAGTATTAAGGTTCAAGGTCCAAAAAAAGCAGTTGTAGCCTAATGGTTTAACCTATCGCCTCTCAAGCAGAGACAGTGGGTTCGAATCCGGGTTCGCACCTCTGAGTTGCAACATACATACAGCTATAAACCATGATTTATTGAGCATAAAATGTTTACTTTACCCTGTATTTATATTTTGGAAGTGTTCAAATATGTTAGAAAATATCCAGAATAGTTTTTTTTTGTAATATCAAGTGACGGGACGAACAAGTCGTGCGCCCGATGGTAATGATGTGTAAAATGTGTGTAAGTGATGGCTGTCCATAACGCAGTGCCACTCAGAGCTTTAAATCGCAAAGATTTGAGGGGCACTGCTACTGCGCCCGTCACCCTGAGACATAAGTTGACAAGTCCCATGTGTCTGTAATTTCACCAGAACCCTTACCCTTCAAAACCGGAACACAGTAATGCTGACATTACTGCTTGGCAGCAGAAATAGGTAAGGTGGCAGTGCTTCACTGGACGAACTCTTTCACACCGAGCTCTACTGCTACTAAAATTAAAATGGTATAAAAATACTGTCTACGTCACCGTGACAAATTACCTCTACCTACCTCTCGTTTGAAGCTATACCATTATGGTCCACTAGTTATGTCAGTTAAAATATATAACAAATTACCAAACTGATTTAAATACTTAAATAAAGAGAAGGAATTTACTAAGCAAATAAAGAATTTATTAGTCACAAAACAGTATTATACTGTACACGAACATCTAAATGATAATATTAAATTGCTTATATCTACGTAAACAAATACCTAAAGAAGTGCAAATAACTAAAAATATTATATTGATTATACTAAAACATAATAATACTTAGATACATGATAATATAGATAATAAAATATGTTATTACTTCAACAATAATTTCGTAATTGCTATTCCTAATTTTTTTGAGTAATTTCACATTTATTTTTATTTTTTTTAATAACGTCTCCCTTGCAATTGCTGTGTCCTACAGGGTCCATAAATGCATTTTGTATATATTTTGTAGCACCTGGTTAACATTATGGAAAAGCAATAACGTATTGAGTATTGAGTTTCTTGGAATTTATGTTCGAAATTTAATTTATAATTTACTATAAACTTGTCGATGAAGAAAAACATCATGACGAAATCTGTATGTCGGAAAAGGTTTACAACCCTCGGAAAACGTGAGAAATCCCCAACCCGCATTGGGCTAGCATGGTGGACTATAGCTTAAACTCTCGCTTGATAGGAGACCCGTGCCCAGCAGTGGAATGTAAAAATGGGTTATGTTCATGATCTCACCAATACGAGTTTATTAACAACCTATCCTATAATTAAGTCATCTAACAAAAAACTTCCACAAAAAATATCATACAAAATAGGGCCCCAAGTTTTCTAATTTTAAATCATTTCAGTTGTGTGTCGATCGAGACGTGGACGCTCACACAGAAGGCTGTATACAGAATGAGAGTCGCACATAGAGCCATGGAGGGAGTCATACTCGGTATCCAACTTATAGATCGAGTTCCGAATTCCGAAATCTGTAGACGAACTAAGGTCCAGGACATAGGAGATCGGATAACGAGTTTAAAATGGAATTGGGCGGGACATGTTGCGAGACGGTGGACGATGAAGAAGGTCCAAGGAATATTGGTAGGGTGTTCAAAAAAAACGTACGAGTTTGTTCTTCTTCCCAAACAAAACACAATCAACTGATCAAACGGATTTTAAATTGATAAAATCTTTTTCGCCGATTGCATAATATAATTTCCTTAAGGAACGCTTACTGTGGTCTGTGGGAATGCTATTCGGTATTATGGAATCCACCAATCCATGAAATTTCAAATGTTTTTTTTTAATATCCAGTGACGGGACGAACAAGTCGTGCGCCTGATGGTAAACTACACGCCAGTCCATAACAGTTGCAGTGCCACTCAGAGCTTTAAATCGTAAAGATCTGAAGGAGTACTGCCACCGCGCCCGTCCCCCTGAGACATAAGTTGACAAGTCCCATGTACCTGTAACTTCACCAAGCACCCTTACCCAACAAAACAAAACCGGAACACATTAATGCTAATGTCACTGCTTGGCGATATTTCTATAGGTAACGTAGCAATACTTCCCTGGACGATCTCTTTCACAATGAGCTCTACGACTACTATGTAATCTTACTGTATGTTCTTTAACACTTGTAAATAGAGGTAAGTGTATTAGTAGGCAAAACCGGATCTTGAGCCTAAAGAGTCTCTGTACATTGAATTAGTCTGTAATAATAGTGATAAGTGAAAACCGTGTGATATATTGGCCGCACGATACTATCGCTTCATTGTCTTCCGTCACCATCACTCACAATCGTTATTAGGGTTACATAACACCCCGTCGGGAGCAAATCGATTGGAACAATTAAGCCGACGCGGACAAACAATTAAGTACTGCCTACTTTTCACTGCTGATGACATAACGCTTAGGCAGTTTATTTGTCGGTGTGTAATTGTGAAAATATTGTCTTAAATGACCTCGTTAGTCTATTGCTCATCAGGATATGGTATTTTAGTGCTTTTCTGAAAACAATTATAATGTAATTGGTGATTGTATGCCCGCACATATTTCTTTAAAAGATACCACGAGGCGGGACGAAAAGTTGGAATGTGCCTTCAATTTCAACAGCCAACGTAATAATGCTCACATTACTTACTGGTTGGCAGCAGAAATAGATAATGTGGCAGTACTTCCCTGGACGAACTCTTCACAACGAGCTCTACTGCTACTAAATGACGATGTACTCGTAATCGTAACATTTCTTCAATAGATTTTATAGGTACTTGAAAAATTTACTAAAATCTCACAAAAAACTAAATATGTATAGTAAATGTTTATATTTAGATATATAGATAGCGAAACTCACAACAATGGAAAAATGTACTCGAATCTGCAACCGCAAGGGAAAAAAACACATGCATCTAGAACTCTTTTTCCCAAGATCGGTTAAATCTACATCAGTAACGAAGCATAGACTTTCACATGCACGCTTTAAACCCCAATTAACAACTTAGTCTATCACACCCTATTTTATAATCAGATAACACCGTGCAAGTCAATTACGGCCCGTGATTGTAACCGCTTATCTTACAAACTCAATTACGCAAATAGGTGAAAATTGAGGAAGCCAAATGGTTATTAGGACTTGAATCGACACCCAGGTCGGTGTTATTGGTCTGTTACATGTTACATACGACTGTTTACAACAAGTCTTGCGTAACATTGGCCAAAGTTATGTAGATTCACAACTAAAAGTATTATAATTAGTAGCAGTAGAGCTCCTTGTGAAAGAGGTCGTCCAAGGATAGTACTGCCACCTTACCTATTTCTGCCGCCAAACAGTAATGTCAGCAATACTGTTTTCCGGTTTTGAAGGGTAAAGGTGCTAATGAAATTACAGACACTTGGGACTTGTCAACTTATGTCTCAGGGTGATGGGCACAGTGGCCGTGCCCTCAGATCTTTGTGATTTAAAGCTCTGAGTGGCACTGCAATTGTCATGGACAGGCGTGTTACTTACCACCAGATTGTTCTTGACTTGTTCGTCCCGTCACTTGCTATCTTAAAAAAAATATTATGTGCCAGATAAACACACCAATTGCCTGGTCGCAAACTAGGGAATCCCCTGTACTAGAGTACTTGAGCAACGGAATTCACTCTGGGGCACTTCCCAGAACACCCAGAGACGAACCATTTTAGTAAAGTTCATTTCCTATATCGGTACTACCGAAAATCGAAACCGGGACCTTCGTATCCAGAGCCCATAGTGTAAAAAGAGGATACCGAGTTCGTCAAACTTGAGCCCCCTGTATGGAAAACTCAAACTCAAATAGTGTTTATTTCATTGATAAGCAAATTACACTTGAAACCGTCATATTGATGAAAATAAAGTAATCCGTATGATGAGTAAATTCTCTAACAATTACTCTTTGTAAATAATTTGTACACATTTATCATTTACAACGTTTATTTCAAATCATATGACAGATCAAGACAACCTGCAAGAGCTAAACATCAGTACCACATATTGTATATAATAATTAACCTTTAGTAAAGGTTTGTATCACTATAGTTTTTAACGTCGTAAATGGCAAATTTTGAATATCAACTTGGCTCTTGATAGAGAAGCGTAACATTGCCCTATAACTGAATTTGTGGCTTTATAAAGACGACAGTCAAATATAGCCAGGTTATTTCTATTCCTCGTATTAATGTAATGAGGTTATGTTTATCATCATCGTCTTCTTAACATAAATTAAATTCTCGTAAATGTGTGAGCTGTGACGTTAATGTAAGAATGTTATTTTCGTTTCTTCGTGTTTTCGAAGAATATTCAGAACTGAATTCTTAGTGTGCAACACGAAAGACAACATCCATACATGACATATAT